CCATGGACATACACACTTAGTTCTCTTTGTGGCACCTCATCAAAAGAGATTACTGGCTTCTGAATATTACTTTTTAGTCTTCTGAATCATAGAGCAGTTGTTAAATTACAAAATTTAAAGATATCTTTCATTTTTATATTACCTATACTTCCTACAGTTATTACTCCACCATGACCCTTCAGTAGAAACATCCTTTAGAACAATGAAAAAAAGAGTCAAGCAAAACTAACCAACATATTGAAAAGTCATTATATTCAGAGTTCCATACTTATGGTCCTTCACTTGTGCAAAAAAAAGGGTTGGGAGGTGTCATCTTATATCTCTTCTTTAGCCAAGCTTGTCTATTATGATTCTGCAGTATTTAGTTTTGATTGCTTTGTTATTCTTTCCATTTACAGTGTTACAGTCATTCTATATATTATTTTCCTGGTTCCATTTACTTTACTTTCCATGCTTATCTATATTCATCCTACACAGTTTCTGTTAGCACAAAAATATTTAGCTACATCAATGTACCATAATTTGTTTAGCCATTTATAATTTAAAGGGTTTTGTTTCCAGTTCTACAAAAATGCTATTAGAAACATTTGTGTACTTGGGGCCTTTTTTTTTTTTTAAATAAGTGACTTCCTTTGGCTATGTGCCTAGAAGCGGAATCTCTGGGTCAATAGGCACTGTAATCACTCTTACAAAAATTCTACTTACTTTCCAGAATGGTTGGACCAATTTAAAGTTCCACCAACAATGTAGTAGTGTGCCCATCATTCCCACTTGGCTGACTCCCTTCTTATCCTAGTTACATTAGTTTTACTCATGAAATAGCCTTTCAATATCACGTATTCAAAATTATATATTTTGTCTTTTGTAACTACCTCTAACCCTGTTTTTGTTACCTTCTTCCCCCATCTGCCCATCTATACCTATAGCTGTGAAGAATGTATGATATGCTTCTCTGGAAGTATATCCTCTAAGGTCTCTTTTTTTGGTAATATTGAGAAACTTAATGACAATGTTGTGGTCTGAAATCCTTGGTCTCACCTGAAGGAAAAATCTTAGTAAGGCTTAATCAATGCCAAGGAAGTAATACCCTGTTCTCAAGTCCAGGGCTTCCGTTTTTTCAGACATGCTAAGTTTCTGTAATACAAACCTCAACTGAGTACAAGAAGGAAACTTGATTCTTTGAAACTAAGATGACAGTAGTGACCAACCTTTGTTCTCTCTTGACCAAAATAAAGAGTTTCAGGAAGATACTTCTCCAAAGGTATATCCATAAAAAAGTCCTAAAGGCTAAACAGTGTGCCCTCCTAATCTTGGGGTGAAATTTTGTTTTTGTTTTCATGACCAGTATAAAATGTAAGAAGACATGCGTAGGGCAATATTTAAAATAAGCATGGGAAACTCTGTATAGTACCAAATAGTCTCTAACATATATTGTCTAAAAATGCAGGGTAAAGAATTTTTCTTCCACAACTCTTCTATTTTTTTAATGGTATGGTCCTTAATATTCAGGTCATATATCTAATTTATTGTGATAAATCAGTGAGATGTTGATCTAAAACCTAATTTCTGCCAGATAGTATCTTAGGAAATTTAAGTTTTCAGTTTTGTCAAATGCTGAGTTACTGAATCCAATTATTTCAGATTCTCAGCTGAGCAAAACAAATCTTTACTGCAACCATGACCAAAAATGTATATCTTCCTCCACGTGAGTCCATTCGCATTTTGTCAAGAAGTGGGTAAAGTGTCCTCTGGACACCTGGCTGGTCATCGATTTTATCAGACTTCTGAAAGTTTTCCAAGTTGTTTTTCTTTACAGTGTTGTCATTATATAAAATTTCTTCCTGGTTTTAATCAAGTCACTGCATCAGTTCATGCTTTCCAATTTTCTCTGACACCATCTCATTTCTTATGGCATGATAATATTTCATTTCATTCATATAACACCATCTATTTAACCATTTCCCAATTGATGGGCACACCTCTTTAGTTTCTAAATCTTTTCTTTTAATTCACCCTTCAGAATCAAGAAATTTGTTTTGTTAAAACTATTACCTGCTCAGCATTATTCTTCCTTTCTATACAAATGTGTTCCTTTTACTCTCCTCAAATTCTTAGAATAGAACCAATCATCCATAGGTCCTCTAGTTTTCTTATTTAAATTCCCTCAATACCCTTTGAAGACATTAATGTTCTGAATGAACACTTATTTCTTTTCCCTTTCAGTGTGTTAGGATTATTTCTCTGAGTCTTGTTTTTGTATTTCAAAGTTCCTACTCACCTCAGGTCATTTTATCAGATATTTGAAAGTTCTCTATTTCACTACAGGTCTATTTTTCCCCTGGTAGGATTATATTCAGCTTTGCAGAATAAGTTATTCTGCTTGTAAGTCTGTATCTTTTTTTTTTTTAATATAGTACCAAGATTTTAAATTTACAGTAGAAGCTGCCAGGTCTTGTGTGATCTGGACTGGGGTCCTGAACTCCTTTTTGGTTAGTCTCACTTCTTTTTTTTTTTAGTTAGTGGTTATGCTCAGGTTTGCAGGGTGGGAGCTTTTTGGAATATACAATTCTACATCATCCTGCAGATTCTAATCTGTGCTGAATAATTTTGTGTTAACCTTTCTTTTATGTCTGGATGTCTTTCTCTCAGCCACTTGCACCATTTGTCACAAAATTTGGCATTAAATTTAACCATTCTGGATGTATCTTGGAGTTTGAAACACATATTCTTTCAATGTGTCCTTTGTTTTCTATATTCAGAAGTTCAGGGTAATTTTCTTGCATGATTTCCGATATTAAGGTATTTTTAAAAATTTTTGTCTCATCCTTCAGGGAATCCTTAAGTTGTCTATGGGCATCCTGTATTTGAGGTCAATGACTCCAGCTTATACAGATATGATATGTTCTTTTAGTGTGGTTGCCATTTTCTTTTCTTTTGCCAGATTTTCCAAACTTTCAGTATTTTCCGATTCCAAATCTGTTCCTTTCCCTTCTTAGGAAAAACTCATCACCATGGAGAATGTTGTTTGTAGTTTTTTTCCTCTAATATTAAGTTTTTATTTCTGCATTGAGAGCTACAACTTTTAACAAGCATCAATTCCTAAATTCTTCTCTTACAGAGTTAACTTTTGAACCATTCTGGAATTTCTTGCTGTTATTCCATGCTCTTTTGGGATTCCAAAGGCTTCTGTGGAATTCTTTCATCTTACGATATTTGTTAAAAGAATTTTTAATCTTTTTGCCCATTTAGTACTCTTCCTTCCTTCTAGTTTGTAGCATTCTGTTGATTTATTTGCTTATGCTTTAGGTTTTATTGAATTTTTTCCTCTTAAAATCTTTGTCTTTACATTAATTTATCCTTATATTTCCTCCTGTAACTCACTTTGACTCCTCTCCCTTTGCTTGTGTGTAATACCCCCAGGGCTGTATTGCAAAGCACATTCAACCTCCTCCCACACTGGCTGATTTAGGTTTCATTTGCCTTGGCCTCTGCCCTGAGTTGCTTCTGGAAGCACATTATGGTCCCAGATAGGTTTCAGTCCCCTTTCCTTCAGACCTGGTATAGTCATTTATACGGGTCTACTGTATCTCCCTTGTATCTCCTCTTCTATTTCTCTAGCTAAACTGAGTTAGCCTGTGTCGCTTTTTTCAAGATAGGATGATGGCATTCCAGACAGTCTCTGCAGCCCTGGGAGTTCTTAAACAAGGAAACACCCCAGACAGAAGGCAGAATGCTTCCCTTTCTCCTATAGCTGGGGGAGAAATTAGTGTTACATGTTGGGGTACTGGGTGTGCCTATAAGCAGGAACAGATCCCAACATGGGGACTACGGATGAGTCTTTGGGTAGGTTTGCACATTCTTACTGAGTGTGAAGGCTGGTGAAGGAGGGTTGTTAAGTAAATGCTTTAAGAATGAGCATTTTATGGTCTTAATTCATAATGCTCTGTCTTATTTACTGCTAATTCAACTGAAACTGCTCTATATGTATGGCAAAACTTCTCTTTTAGGGGTTTTTGATAGTTAGTGGGGCCTAGGCAAAGTGCCTAGTTTTCCATTGTGTTAGTTTCTTGACCCAAATGTCAATGTGTTTCTTTCTCTGAGGACTTTGTTAACAATTCCCTCTATCCACCAGATAGGCTTATAAATATTGTTGAAAAATTTAAATGTCTCTAATGAAGATTATTTCACACTGCCTCCACACTGATGACATTCTTCTCTTTCCATGGTTTTTTTTTTCTCTTTTAAAGGAGCCCAAAGCAGCTATCTTGAACTAAAAAGTGAGTAAAATACATTTATGACATCACAGACAAACTCCAGAGGAGTTTTAATTCCTGACTGCCACCCTTCTTCATACTATTTAGTAAAAATCAAATTTTTAAAAGACTGTATTTATTATTCAAATCTACAAAGCTATCTCAGTAATATTCTTTAATCTTTCTCCTTTAAAACGTAAAATGATTCTACTATTTAACAAGATGAATGCTATTAATCTGAAAGTGACAAACACCTGTCACACCCTAAATATAGGCTAACCATTTCCTTCCACTGAAGAAACAGCTATTTCCTGTGTCAATCTTGTTAAAGTCCTAAGTGCCAAGCCATGTAGGCACATACACAGTCCATAGTAATATGTATGCCAAAAACCACAGAATATATTCCATTCATCAAGACACTTAAGGAAAAGAGCCTCAATTTCTTAATTTGTAAATGACAGGTTTAGACCAGAGAAACAGGATCATAAGATTTAGAGCTGGAAGGGTCCTTAAAAATTATTTAGTCCAACTCCCTCAATTTACAGGAAGGAAATGAGACCCAGAGGGGAAATGATAACCAAGTACAATATTTAGGGTCCCTTCAAGCTAAAAAATGTCTATGGTTTTATTGTAATTTACTGTTAGGGGGAAAAAAAGTTGATTTAATTTAGAGCTATAAAGGTAAATATGATTCATGTAAATAAACTTTGAATGTTATTTACAATATTTAAAAGAAATTTATTTTACCTCAAGATCTTTATCACTGATGAACCAGTTTACATCATTTTTTTCTGAAAAACAAAAATAAATATATGATTAATTCACATTTTTTCTAAAAAGAACTTGTTAAAATGAATACTTGGCTTATGCTATCAGTTCTAAACATTAATAAAAATCCTTTGGCTCTTCAAAGCATTTATACAGATACAGTGCCAGGCCACCATGCCTGAATTCCAACAGAACTTGTTTAAATTAAAAATAGAACCAAGCTTGCTGGTTTCTAACTGGTTTCCATTTTGAATTGCATATATACGTACTTAAAATCAGAATTGTCTCTGATCACATCAGGATTATCACCTTACCACTGGGAAGTATGTAACTTAATGCGAGCACTACAGAACATCCAATCTACTGTATAACAGAGTATAAAAGAAGCAAAACCCTTCATTAAGTCATTGGCTAGCCTTTAATTTTAATATGTAAAACCTGAAGGATGTAGGGACAAAATTTACTTCTTTATATAATACCTTTCTCTCTGTCTTTGTAGTCCCATTGTAAACTGTAAATGGCTATTACTTCTTCAGCCCATGTCTGCTGGCAACATGTTAGAAGGGTGCTATGACTAATGCAGAAGCTGGGGTGTAAACAAAGAGCTGTTGCAGGGTTGGTTTTTTTTTTTTTAAGCAATGGAAAGATTCTTCCACCCCCACCTTATTCCCCTATCTCAAATATACCAATACAGCCTCACTAGTTACTTTATTCTATTCTATTGAATGGAAATTTGAAGAGCCATGAAGTAATCTACATTTCTCCAGGCCTATGAGCAGTAAAAAACATCTTATAGATATATTCTAAAATAAAGTATTTTTACTAAGAAAACCAGACTGCTTTAAAAAAAAAAAACTCAGAGGAAGGCAGAGATGTTTCCCTGATGATTATGTTCTTTGTAAGTTTGGAAGCAGCAACCACACAGTAGAAGAAAGAATACATTAAAGAGCTGCTCCTTTTATTTTTCCTATCATAACCACCCACACTAATCAATAGTCAAAGGATCCATTTGGCCTGGACACCAAGTTATGATGTTGAACATCATCTTTGTTATCTCAGTGTCTTCAAGCTTCCACAATATTTGCAAGGAATTTAAAATTTAGTCAGCTTAAGATTATAAGAGGTAAAAGAAAAAAGGAACCTGTTATTTTGGCAAACTACCTTCATCAACAAGAATATTGTAATGAATATAAGGTAGCTTCTAAAGGTCAAATGTACTCTATTTAAAATGTTAATCCTGAATTTAGTAACATTCTAGGTTATAAATTGGCAATTCCTCAATAACTTATTGTACATTTTTAATAAGTACAATGGAACTAGCACGTTCCTTCTTCAGGTTTTGACTATTCATTGGATTGACAGTGTTTCTTAACCCAGTGCATTGGGGAAAACATTTTGGTGGTGATGCAAGACAAATTAGTCCTTTCATAGCTCCAACTTGGCTTTTCTTTTATTCAGGAACCCTGAGTTCCTTCCCCTTGTCATTTCTACTCCCTCCTGGATGCCAAATAATAGGACACAAAGCAGATGCTTAATAAATGTTTGTTGATTACCTGACAGTATTTTAATGGAGCCCAACCACCAATCAACTAATTCCACCTGGTTCGGACTAGGAAAAAAAAAAAACAAAACCCAAAAGCCTCAAACACTACATTTTATACTCTGCTTTTCTTGCTCATTACTTCCCTAAAAGGTGTGTGTCCAGCACAGAGTCCAAATCAAAGAATTCCCTATAGATATTGAGACCCTCAGATGTTGGACCAATCCAAGAACACTGCTAAGCCTTCTAAGTGAGATCCATAAGCACTAAAAAGAGCTCATCCTAAACATCCACACAGGAAGAAACCAAGCCGATTAAGAATGCCTATTGTCCATATTTATTTGTATGGACACAGAGTTGATCCATCAGTAAATATATCCTGGACACACCTTCCAAAAGGATAATGAGGTGGGCCCAGAATTGAACAGACTGAAATCCCTTTGGGAAACTGCTAGATGCTTTTAATGATTCCAAGCATCCATCTCCCTGAAAAAAGAAGTGTATCTTCAACCACTTTTTTTTCAATGTTGCAGTATGGCTGCAAGTCATGGACTGTCACAGTCTATTAAAAAAATTAAAGTTTTGGATCATTCAAAGGACTATAGAGGGGAATATGATGGCTTTAAAATAGGCTACAAAACATTACCAACGGACTGTTTTATAGGAAACACAATGTTAAGACAATGATGAAGATGCTTGCAGAATCTGAGAGAGAATGAGGATGACTCATAAACTGATCGGCAAAACATAATGGCCAGGATAGTTGTTTAATAAAGGAGGCTAATGGTAATAATATTCAATATCCATGGTATAGAAGGTCCAAATTGCTTTCCTACATGGCTACCTATTTATGGCTATCAATTCATAGCTTCACCTCACCAACAGTGTATCAATGCATATATTTTCCCACAGTCCTTCCAGCATTTGTCTTTTCCCTTTTTTGTTACCTTTGCCAATCTCATGGGTCTGAGTTGCATCCTCAGTGTTATTGTATGTGTTTTACCCTCCTTTGACCATTTCAGATGAAAGTTATGTTCAAGTGCTATCGTTTTCCCATATCTCTTTGTATAGACTTTTACTTGAACATTCCAATTACATAAGTTCCTCTACTCTTCCTCCCTCCCCCAGTGTATTATTTTTACCCTCTGTTTATTTTATTTTAAAATTATCAAAACATAACAAAGCCATTCCCTATGCTTTCTGTTCTATGTTATTTCTTCTACTACCCTTGGAGACACGAAGACACATTTGTATCATTGCCCTTCAATTACAATGTAAAAAGTTCATCCTTACAAAGTTCTTTCTGATAACTTATATGTATTTACCTTTTTATGTTTCTAATGTTTATATTTCAAAGTTTCTACTCAGCTCTGGTCCATTAGACTGTGAGCTATTTGAGAGACAGGGACTGTTTTTGCCTTTTTTTGTATCCTCAATGTTTAGCATAGCAATTGGGACTAAGGACATATTCAAGAAATGCTTACTAACTTGGTCTTTTAATTAGGACTGTTTGGAAGTCCCCTTTTTGAATGAAGATCTATTTATTTTCCCTAGAAGATCACAACTAGTCTTGCTGAGTAAACCATTCTTTGTTGTAGGCCCACATATTTTGCCTTTTGGAATATCTTATTTCAAAGTGGTAGAATTAGCAGCTATGTAATCCTCACTGGTTCATCTGCACTTGAATTTTTTCTTTCTGGCTGCTTGGAGAATTTTTTCTTTGATCTCGAAGCTCTGGGTTTTGCTAATCACTTTCCTGGGAGTTTTCATTTTGGCATTTCTTTTAGGAGGTCATCAGTGGATTCTTATTATTTTCACTGTGCCTTCTTGTTCTAAGAAGTTTAGGCAGTTTTCTTTTATAACTTCTTAAAATAATGATATCCAGGCTTTTGGGGGGTGGGGTGGGGTCATGGTTTTCAGATAATCCAATGATTCTTAAATTCACTTCTTGGTCTGTTTTCAGGGCAAGTGTTTCTGATGAGATAACTTACATTTTCTTCCATTTTTCCAATCTTTTCATTCACTCTTTCTCTCTCTATGTGTGTGTATACATTTGGTCCACTTTAACTTTCAATTACTTATGTAAGGTTATGTATTTCTTGCACTAAGTTGATAATCTTTTTTCCAAGTCTTTTCTCTGTAAGCTCTCATTCATTTTCCAGTTCTTTCCTCCACCTCTCTTATTTTATTTCTAAACTCTTTTCTTTTAAAGATCTTATATCAAGTCTTCTGGAATTTCTAATTTTAGCTTATCTTTGTGGCTTTGCTTACAGGTGTTTTAATTATTTTCTTTTTCTTGACTTGTCTTGGGCTTCCTTAGCCCTAAAATCATTTATTCTTCTACCTTTACCTCCTGGAATGAGATTGGATGTTGGACCGTGCAAGGCTCTGCACTCTTTTGGTGGGACATAGCACCATAACTCTCTCTGAGGACCTCCCCTCCCCCCTTGAAATGTGACATCTTCTGCTCCCTAGGGACTGGCTTGGTTGAGAGGGACAGTCTACCTTTTAAGTACTTACCTTTAAGTACACAAGTCCTACCGTGGTCACTTGCCTATGGGTCAAATTCATGATCTTGTGCTAGAAAGATGACTCATTATAGCTTTCAGAGTTTGGGGCTCTTCTGATATCTTCCCTTGGAACAGTTATCAGAAGTGGGAATGCACTGTTTTTTCCTATTCTGCCCTCTTGCCTATACTTCCCTCTTCTGTCTCTTAAAATCCCATCTCCTATCTCCCTATCCCCACCTATTTCACAATTGAATATAATGTATTTCTACCCCATGTTGTTTCTCTTTGTGTGAGAAATGTGTACATGAGGGTATTCTACCTTTCTTTATCTGGATCAGATGAAGGTGAGTCTCATGAGATGTCTTCCTCCCTTCTCTATTTGTGTACTTTACATCTCAAGCACTCCTATTCTGTGAGATAATGAGTTCTTGATAGAGGAGTTTATGGCTGAATTCTCTTTGGTTTTCTTTATTTTTCACTGCATTTCATAGCTTTAATGAGGTATTGGTAAGGGATCTGGACTCCTCTAGCCCCTAATGCTGCCATCTTCCCATAATATTCTAAGAACTTTCCCAAAGCCTCGTGCTACAGTGTAAAGAAAACTGGTTCTTGAGTTAGAAGACCTGGTTTTACCACCCATATCTGATGATACTACCTGTATCACTTTGAACAAATCTTTTAAGTGTCCTGGGTCTCAGTTTCCTCATTTATAAAATGAAGGTGTTGAACAATGGCTTCTGAGGTCTCTCCTAGCTTTTGCTCAATGACCCAGTGTTTCCTTAGATACTCTTTCCTTCCTGAGCTTCTATAGACACTGTTCTCTCTTGGTTCTCCTCCAACCTTCTCAGTCTCTTTTCTTGATTCATGATTTGTCTCTAGTCTGCGAAGTAAACTTATCCCCCAAGGTTTTGTCCTAGAACCTCCTCTCTCTTGTTATCATCTGCTCTTCTAGGATCAGTGATCACAAATGGTT